AAAAGTATTAATTTTCAAAAAAAAAAGAATTAAAAGTATTACATTTTTCTTCAAAAGTATTATACATTTTCTCTTATAAGTAACAAACATTTGTCAACATTATTTATATAAGAGAAAATGTAATACTTTTTATGAAAAATGTAATACTTTTTCATCAAAATGTAAAAGTATTACATTTGTTTTCAAAGTATTACACTTTATGTAATAAACATTTTATTCTTAATTACTATTAAATTTTTACATTGGTCCGACCCGATTCGACATGTCTCACGAATACAAATTTATGAAACTGTCTCGCACAAGTGTGACCCATAATATAATTGTTGAATATATGTTATTATTCGTGGGGGGTGACATATTAGGGAGCGTTATGCCATGGAACCGTGTTCACCATTCATGGTGAACACGGTTCCAACGGTGTTAGTACACCGTTATTTTTTTTTTTTAATTAATTGCGTGACTTTTCTTCTTCATTTTCACATTTTGCGGTTTCACTCTAATTTGAGGTGAACAATGATTTCGGACATTCATAAATTATGAATTCATGCCTGCACATTCACTTTGGAACCATGCCTACACATTCCCGTCCGAAATCACGGACATTCATAAATTATGAATCCATGTCTGCACATTCACTTTGGAACCATGCCTACACATTCACTTTGGAACCATGAGATTATGAATTTTCTGTTATAAGATTATGAATTTTCAGTTATGAGATTATGAATTTTCTGTTATGAGATTATGAATTTTCTGTTATGCGATTATGACTTTTATGAAAATTCATAATCTCATAACAGAAAATTCATAATTTGATCAACGCGCGCCGTTAATTCCACATCCGTAATTTTTTTTTTTTTGCCTAAAAACGACGTCGTTTGGCCTTGTGTTCACCATTCACGGTGAACACGTTTCCAAGGCATAATTTGCCGACATATTAGTAGGATTTAATTGCACAAAATTATAAGCTTGTGGGACCTTTTTTTTTTTTTTTAGAATAAGGATCAAATAGGCCATCGAACTACACACGAAAATGCAATCAGGCCATGAACTCAAAAAAAGTGCAATTGGGTCCCTCAACAACACAAAATGTTGCAATTAAGCCAAAAATGACTTGTTTACCTAATGAGTAGGTTACCATATTAAAATAATATTTTTAATTTTATTTTAATAATTTAAAATAACAAAACTAAATTAAAAAATAAAAAAATAAAAAAAAGGATTTTCAGTTTCGTCTCCGCTGCCGGAGACGAAGAACCAGTCTTCGTCTCCGACAGCCTGGAGACGAAGAAGGTTCTTCGTCTCCATGCCGGAGACGGCCGGAGACGAACCTCTTCGTCTCCGGCAGCTTGGAGACGAAGGGACACGAAGAGGTCCCTTCGTCTCCAGGCTGCCGGAGACGAAGAGGTTCGTCTCCGGCATGGAGACGAAGAACTTCGTCTCTGGCCAGGGACGAAGAGCTCTTCGTCCCCGGTCGGAGACGAAGACCAGACTGCCGGATACGAAGATTGGTTCTTCGTCTCCGGCGGCAAACCTGTTTATTTTTTTTATTTTTTATTTTAGTTTTTGTTATTTTAAATTATTATAATAAAATAAAAAAATTATTATTTTAAAGTGATAACCTCCACATGAGCAAGTTAACAAGTAAACAGGTCATTTTTGGTCGAATTATAATATTTTGCGCTGTTCAATGGCTCAATTGCATTATTTTTTAGTTCAGTGGCCTAATTGCATTTCCTTGTGTAATTCGATGGCCTATTTGACTCTTATTCCTTTTTTTTTTTTAATAAAAAAAGGATAATTAAATTGGTTTTTATTAATAATTGGGGAATATTATGAACTATTATAAATTTATAATCCTCCTTTCTTTGAATCGAAGTCCGCAGCCAGAGGCATTCGCATTTTCTCCATTTCTCTTGAGATTGAGACTTTTCCACGGAGCTGAAAGTCGAAGAAAGAGTAAAGCGAAGCAGAGATTCCGATGGAACCCTCCACAGCGGCTAGGAGAAGCGGCGGCGGCCTTCTCGAAGGCTTCTACAGAGTCATTATGCGCCGCAACTCCGTCTATGTCACCTTCGTCATCGCCGGCGCTTTCCTCGGCGAACGGGTCAGTCCCTGTACATTAGATTTGGCGTAGTCTGGATCTGAATGAAATCATGCGATTTCGATGTGATTTATTTCTAATTGATAGGGTTGATTGTTGATTGTTTAGTTTCCCTAAATCGTTATTGCAGGCTGTGGATTATGGTGTAAAGAAGATTTGGGAGAACAAAAACGTTGGGGTATGTTATTCGCCCGCTTTATGAGCATTATGTTTCGTTATACCGATTGCATACTTATCTATAATTGGAGCTTGATTTCCTTTTCTGGGTGAAAATAGGTTTGAAGATTGATATGTTCATGTTAAACTGCTAATAGAAAAATTGGAACTTTTTTTTTCCTGCCATGGTAAATGTGTTTTTGTTGTAAAAATCTTTATGGTTTCATGGTATTGATTGGTATTGCTTTGTATTGTACACAAAATAAAGGAAAAGCAAATACTAGGTTTATTTGTTAGAAGCAGAGAGTTTTCTGTTTACTTGCCATGTTCCTCTTGTCTTTGGTAATTGGTTAAGGGTGTATAATAATGCACGGTTTTTGTTCTTCCATTGATTGTCTTGCACCTATGCTCTTTAGATCAGACTCGTTTCTCATATACCTTGAAAACATGGTTCATTGGTAGTGTGACTCATTACATGCGGACTTTATGCTATCATTGGAGTCTCTAGATTTATGCCAATTCTGTCTAGCAAAGTGATGCATACTCAAATTGAGCTTGCTATGTTTGTAACAGAAACGGGTTTTTTCGTTTTAATTGAGCTGTAGTAATGACATCAGTAGGGGCCATACATTCGATAGTCTTATTCTCGCCTTCTGTTGATTAACTGTGTATGAGACGTAGCATTGGTGGAAGATTCAGCATGTTTTTAGACCTTCCCGAATACTTGCTTCTACTTTTACTTGATTTCTTGAAGCTATTTTACCATTGTTTTGTCTCGAGAAACAATCTCTTGGTTTGACTTAGATTTTATGTTGATTCTTCTCTGCAAAACTAAACTTGTGATCATTCATGATTGTCACAGTGGGGAAGAATCATAGCTCCCAATCTTGATTCCATATATCTCTTGCTTCTGCATTTGTCTTCTATAAATGTTATTCTATCTCTATTAGTAATTCTATATTACCCTTCCTCACTTTTACAGTTTTACTCTTGAACTTTGTAATTAGCATATTGTCACATTAGATGATTAAAAAGATTTCAAACCAGTGTATCTTCCAATTCATAACCTGTAACCTGGCCATGTGACCAACCCACTCTAGCAGTCTGTGCTACACAGCCACATCCCAAACAATTAAAGTTAATACACCACTAAAGTCTATAGTGGGTGGTTGAGACATCGATAACATGCATATGCAACTTTTAAAATTGTCGGAAGGGTAGATCTAAGTCAATTAAAGTGAAAAAAACTAAAAACTATATGCTCCTTAATTCTTTTAGCTAGGTTTGATAATACTTTTTGGCTTTAATTTCCACAAATAAGTTTGAAATGTGGATTATTCTTTTTTTTTTTGAAAATGAAATGTGGATTATTCAATTTTACTGTATTTATTGCTTGAAATGCCGGTGGTCAAGTCACTTTCCATTTCCTTGTTTTTTATTTTTTTTGAGTACTATTGACTTTATTACATTGTAGTATCTGTCCATACATTACTTTCTCAACCTATTGAAGCACAAAAAGTAAATGCCCCCAATGGGGTTCGACGAACCTGTGACCTTCCATTTGGGAGAGCCACAAAGGTGTCATTGAGCTACAAGCTACTTGGCTTCCGTTTCCATTTTGGTTTCCCTAGATTAAAAAAGGCCATTCATGTTTTGGAAATGCACATCAACATATTTTTTGAGTCTAAAAGTTTCGTTGTGCTTCCTGTTTAATGAGATCTCAATTACCTTGCATAAATTTCTAACTCAAATTTTCTCACCTATCAAATGCAGAAGCGGTATGAAGATATTCCGGTTTTGGGACAGAGGCCAACAGAATGAATTCAGCTGCTCATCTGAACCAGAATGGAAGCAAATTTCACATTGAGAGTTTAATAAACATTGTATTCTTGTGCCATGCAAGCCATGAGACTGATTTTTTTTTTTTTTTTTTTTTTGGTTTATCCTTAGAATGTTTTGGATTCACAATCATAGTACTCAATAATTACTCAAATTAATTTTTCCAAAACTATCAAAACACATACACTGCTTGTTTCTGCAGTTCAGCTGCTCATTTGATCTTTATTTTTCTCTTGCCTTGTCTGCATCCTTTTAGATTTGCAACTTACCCTTTAGCTAAGAAACATAGTTGTTTGTGTTGGGTAGAAGCCCGGAGGGCCAAGTCTAACATACCACCACAAATTATTCTGTGGATCCGGGTCTAAATGTTACATATTAAATGTTTACAATTTACTTTTTGAAAATTCACATTTTTAACATATATATGTAAATGATTACCTTGTTTAATTTTGTATTCACAAGTTCCTTTCAAATATTATAGTCACACAATATTAATGTTATGTATTCATAAATTTACTTCTACAATTATTAAGTGTTTTGACTTAAAAATGCAATTTATATTTTAGATGTTCAATTCTAATACTAAAAATACATAATTTTTACGTCATATAACATCAGGGTTCATCTAGGTATAACAATTCAACATACCACAACTCAAATATCAGTTTAGAAGATTAAATATAGCATTCTATTATTGCAGTCTAGAGGGTTACGTTAAGAAAATAGTAATTTTTTAATTTCAAATAAGTAGTCTAGAGAGTTACGTTAAGATCAGTTATTTCGTAAATAGTGATTTGTTAATTTCAAATAGTAGGTAATTTTTTTTTTTTTAAAGCAAATAGTAGGTAATTTTGATGATTATATACTATTTTGTTTCTAACCACCACAAGCTAGAAACACAAATGACAAGTCATAAGCTATGTGCATACAAGCCATTACACAAGAACAAATACTTAGCTTGTACATGTAAATGCAAGGCTATAATATAATCGGGAAAATTAGCATTTAAGGTATATCATAGTCACATTAGGTTTATTGAGACTTGAAAACGGTTGAACAAACTCGTTTGGCTTGCGAGATTAGATCTTCTCGAGCCGACAACAATCCCTTCGGAGCCAAACAAGCATCAAATGAAGAATAATCCATCCATTCCCTAAGCAAACCCTCCTGCCCCCATTTTTCCGGCGGCACCAAAACCCTCCCCGCCACTTCCGTCCAGTGCCTTTTCAGCTTCTCCCGCCCGGAATGCTCCTTCTCCGGCGCCGCCGCAACATTTTCCGGCATTGCCACATCTCTGGTGGCAGCCACCGGAGAATCACACTCCATCATCGCGGCCGCCTTCTGAGCTCTGGGTGAGCTGACAACCGCGTTGCACCTGTAATCCTTAACGGACGACGACGGTGAAACATCTCCTCCTCCTTTTGTCGCCGTCCTTGCCTCCGCCTCCGCCGCCGCCATGACTACGGATCAGTACTCGTCGAGCTGAAATGAAATAGCATGCAATATAATGCCCTTTTGCCCTGCGGCCCTGCACGTAATGAAGCTTCAATTCCTTTCTTTCTCCTTTCAGTATATATAATTCCCAAACTACACGTACAGGTTTTGGGAATGAATTATATATATTGTTGAGTGGGCAGGCGTTTTAAAGAAGCAGAATTGAAGAATGGAGTTTGTATGGAAAGCAAAGTGATTACGTGGCAGTAGTGGACTGGGGACAGATCACAGAGATGTGTGGCTATTCCCACCACCTGGATACATATGTATGTGTGGTGGACCAATATATAACGTGTGTTCTTTTGCATGCATTTCTTTGCGTGTGATTGTGCATGGAAGGAAGGGTAGACCCGTCAAATTTAACCCCTAAAACACTTCACACTACACTTCACCTCACGTTTTGTCATTAGTCAATTCAAAACATGCACTTCTTTCTAACTTAAGTTGATCATCATTAGTTGATTACCAATAACATCAATGCTCATTCGGTGCACTTAAAACAAGTACGGGAGAATATATGGAGATGAACCAAAACTAAAATGTTACATGAATCTAGAACCAAGCCAACCATATCACATGTAAAGACAATTGATTGCCCCTTACCGCGTGTTTGGTTTATGGAATAGGTCGAGAATGGAATATCATTCTCGAGAATAGACCTATTTTATTGTTTGGTTTATCTTTTCAGGGTTGAGAATAGCATTCCCGAGAATGAGTTATTCCCTTTGCAGGGGGAATAGTCATTCTTAGGAGATCCCCTGGTATTAGCTATTCTCAAGTATGTGGGAATAGCTTTTGTACTCTAATATCGAAAATACCATTTTTTTTTGTGTGTGTATATATATATATATATATATATATATATATATATATATATATATATATATATATATATATATATATATATATATATCACCGCCACCGCCACTAGCACCACCAACACCACCGTCATCGCCGCCACCGCCACCACCACCACCACCACCGTCACCGCCACAGCCGCCGCCACCACCATCACTACCACCAACACCACCAACACCACCACCACCACATATTTTTATAAGGGTATTATATCTTTTAAAACATATATCATTTCTATTCCTTAAACCAACCAAACATTGTAATATAATTCCTAAAGTTTATTCCATCCGCGAACCAAACAATAGAATACAATTCCTATTCTATTCCATTCCTTATGGAATAGCATTCCTATTACCTCAAAATTCATTATGTGAACCAAACGTGCTGTTAGAGCTGAGTCAGGACGGAGCCAGAAATTTCATCCAGTGGATGTGAAAGATTAAAATAAATAAGATATTTTGAAAGAAAAAATTAAATCCTAAATAATCAAATAGTAGATTTGACCTCTTAACCTTCTCTACTACAACACATACATACTTAGCCATCTAAGTTACTTCATCTTTAAGTAATTTATATCTATATTATTTACTTATTTCTAAACATATATATATATATATATATATATATATATATATATATATATATATATATATATATATATATATATATATATATATATATATATATATATATATATATATATATATATATATATATATATAGTTAATACCTCCAATGGTCCTCTGAGTATTAGCTATTTACCAGTTGTGGTCATCCGAGCTTTAAATGACCTCCAATGGTCCTCCATGTTTTAAACAATAACCACTCGTGGTCCTTTTAGGACGTCTCGTGGTCATTTTAAACTCGGGTTTTTTTTTTAGAATTAGGATCACAGGTGGTTATTTTTTAAAACATGGAGGACCATTGGAAGTCATTTAAAACTCGGATAACCACCGCTGGTAAATCGCTAATACTCGGAGGACCATTGGAGGTATTAACTCTATATATATATATATATATATATATATATATATATATATATATATATATATATATATATATATATATATATATTAAGGGTCCCCTATTTATAAGAGGTGGGATGGGGGAGGAAGGAGGATGGACAGCTGCCCCACTATCCCATACTGAATCTGTTCATGCTTAGAGCATGACAGATAATATTTTTTTTGTAGAGTTTGTTTTTTTTTTTTTCCTCTCACACAAAGAAGTGAGTTAGAAGGGAAGAGAGAAAAATAATTTTTAGAGTAAAAGACATTTTTGGTCCTAGACTTATAGTGGCACGGACAATTTTAGTCCTCCATAAAAAAATCAGACAATTTGTGGACACACTTATTGTGACGAGGACAATTTTAGTTCTTCGTTACTCTTTCCGTTAGATGCTCCGTTTGAGAGGGGTATTTGCGTCTTTTCATCATGCCTGCTTTACTTAGAGCACCTTGTCGAGAGTCACCGGAAAGACGGTGGCGACATACGGAGCACTAGAGCGCAGCGCCACTCTCCACCGTCACGGTCTGGGAACTGGCTTGCTGTTTGTCCATGGCAGGTTTACGAATTCGTATTTGTATCTCATTTGCTGGTTGTCCACGCTGTCCCAGACCCTCACGCGCACCGGCTGCACGTTTTCGTTGTCGAAGAGGAAGCTGGCGTTGATCCAATCGGCATTCGTGAAATTCCTTTTCCGGCCAAGGCCGCCGAGCTGCTGCCATATAGTCCACATCCGGTCAACGTTTGCATGGTGGCAATAGAAGGAGATATCACGACCGGCGGAATAAAAGTTTCCCATATCCTCGCCGTTCTTCCTCCTCGGATCGCCCACCCACCTGTGGATTGGCACGTGGGGGTTATTCCCCATGAACCCGGTGCCGGGGTTTTTCTTGTCGTCGGAGCGGGAAGGTTTTCCGAGGAAGAGCTCTGCCGTTACGTTCCAGTGTTGGTGAACATATGATCTGCTTGTACATTAACGCCAGATTATTAGTAATTCTTTCTAAGTCGGTGGCTTTTGTATCCTTGCCTTGATACCCAAGGTCGACTATAGTCGATGGAAGATGAGACTGGTTGCGATTCTCGTCGAAGAGGCGGAGCACTCTTCTGTCCAAGCAGGATTCTGAGAGGTTGAAGACTTGCCTCTAAGCAGAGGAATTTCATGAATCGACGTTCCACGGCCTTTCGAGTGTCGTTCTCAATTGCAATTCCTTCTCGTTTCTCATCTTCCTTTCTCATCAGTCCATCACCTTTCAGTGTCTTACTGCGGCAGGGCTACTAGTTATATCGGGGATTTTCTTCGTCATTTTCGTTAGGTATTCGCGGAGTAGGAGGGAGAGAGGCGGTGCAACTGCTGCAACCAATCCTTATGATGAAAAGACGCAAATACCCCTCTCAAACAGAGCATCTAACGGAAAGAGTGACGGAGGACCAAAATTGTCCTCGTCACAATAAGAGTGTCCACAAATTGTCTGATTTTTTTATGGAAGACTAAAATTGTCCGTGCCACTATAAGTCTAGGACAAAAAATGTCTTTTACTCTAATTTTTAAAAGAAACATGGCTGGCGTGCACCAGTAGTGCCCATCAGCGGATACATTTCACAACACCAATTTTTTTGCTTTTGTTTTTTTTTTCCCACTTTATTCATTTTTTTTATTTGGCCAAAAAACTTGATATTATTTGCATACTATTAAGGATGCTCTTAGGATCAGCTAAAAACACGGAGGTCAAGTTACAAACTATCATGGTGAATTGTCAACTAGAAAGACCTTACCTTTTGAGGCTACTTGCTTAATTAAAAACTCTTCAATTATATTTTATTTCTAGTAAACAGTATTTTTGCGTGTGATATTATACAAAATTTTGTGAATTAAAGGGGATGTATGTGGACATATGGCAAGAGAAATGAGATATTTTAGGAGGTAGTGAAGAATATGGTCACACTTCCACCTCAAGATGAAAGAGGGTGCTTGTCTCCTCATCAATTGGGCACTCTGATCCCTTTATTTGTACGCCACAATATTAGTCAAGCTGATGCTGATTAGTGTCTTCTGGTCTTCCTCAATCGCTTTTGGCTTTGACAAACTTAATTAAAAAGGTAATTAAAAATTGAAAAGGTATATGTTAGGAATTGAAAACTGAAAAGCTTTTAAGCTAGCTGTTATGCTTAAAAATATTTAGTAAAATTAATTGTTTGTTAAGCTGATAAATGTAAAAAGATTAAAAAGGATATCTTCATAAAATTTAAATTAATTTGTTTACATATTTAAATTTTACATTTTGTCTTTAAAAAATATAACATTTTGAAATAAAATTGTTAGCATAATCACGATTTAGCATCTCAAAACATCTTCATCATATTCATCATATATATTAGATAATCAATCTTAATAAAGAAGGATAATAAATAATTTGTCAGTTCTTTAAAATGTTTAATAATAATAATAAAGAATTTGTTGTGAAAGTTGCAATAAAAGATGCGTGAAAGGTTTTAATTGGGAAGGGTAAATGATGTTATTTTTTAAAAAATAAAAGGATAAAAATGAAAAAAAAAAAGTTAGGAAGTTACTAGCTTATTTTGAAACGCTACCTAAGGAAGTGTTCTAAAATAAGTTTTTATTTTAAGTTACGAACTTATTTTGAAAACATTACCAAACAGAGCTTATACCTTATTAATTAGTAGCTTAAAATAAGCTATAAGTTCCTAAATAAACTCTGCCAAACAGAGTCTTTATATATAGGGTGAAATAATTAAATTAAATCCTCGGCTCCATTTGGAAGATTGTGAGTTCGAGCCTCAGTGGAGGCGTTATTAGCTCTTTGTGTTTCAGTAGATTGAGAAAATATATGAACAGATACTACAATGTAATAGAGCTAGTAGCATTCAAAAAAAAAAAAATCCTCGGCTCCATGCTTCATCAATCTAAAATTCATTAAAAATCGAAACCTATATGGCCATATCCATGTGTATGTAACAATATTTTTGAAAGAGTTGTTCCTAATGAAACAGTAAGCAAGCTGAGGATTTAGAGACCCGCCAATATTAGTAATAATATAAAATATTTAATTTTCTATATAAATTTCATCATTTTTCAGTTTTTAGATTTTGTTTTCTTGTTTAAACTATTTTATTGTCTAATTATTAACTTTTTAAAACTTATTTTCAATTAAATTATTTTTTAAAATTTTTATCAGTGGGCCCACCATGCGTGGGGGCGCTTATGTTGTGGA